CAATGGCATTCTATTTGGAATAATCTTTTTAGTACTATTTTCAATTTTTTTAGCTTTTCAGTCTACCTACACCAATAGTTTTGCTGACCAACACCACCATATTTCCCGCTGGTGGTTTAATTTTATACAATGGGCGGCCAAGTACGAAAATAACTATAAATTTAAGAATATGAGCATAATTTCGGTTAGATTATTATATATATCTCTTTAATGCCAAAGTACTCACCTATCGAGACAGCCATTAGGATAGCCGGTACGCCAAAAGCCAATGAATAACATTCCTTTTCGCCAAAGCAATGAACATCTTCACGCAGAATTGGTGTTACTGTTGTCGAAACCAATGAGCCAGCATTGATTGAAAAGTAGAAGAGCGAGAAGAATGTCGTAATTTGTTGCACTTGTTCGGGTATCTTGAACTGGTCACCGCCAAAGGCGGAAACGCACGGTTTTATGCCGCCCGAGCCCAGCGCTATTAACGCCAAACCGATCATTGTAAACGTGTTAGCGGGCAAATTCAATGTAGGCACAGCACCGAGAGAAACCAATACTGAACCGGTAACATAGACAAGCGAGAGATAAAAGATCGTTTTGAATTTTCCAAGCCAACTATCGGAGATGATAGCACCCACAACGCATAGGAAGTAAACGAACATGGTAAAGATGTGGAAGATTACGGTGGCATTGTCATCGCTATAGAGGAGTTGTCGGGTCAGGTACAAGACGAGAATGGCTGCGGAAGTACAAATGTAATTAAAAAAAAGCACTTGTTTAAAATTTTTTATATTGAGTCACACTTACTGCGCATGCCATAGTAGTTGAAGCGTTCGCAAAACTCATTGCTGATGATAAAGAAGACCGATTTTGGATACGGAAGTTTCTAAAAATAAAATCAATTATTTTTGCAATCAAAGCAATCAAAATACTTCAATGTTATATGGCAATTAAGAGGACGTGATGTCTGGCGGATATTGATTTTATGATAAAGACTTTATGTTACTATTTGCATTGTCTACATAGTTTTGATTGGGCTTTATTACGTGATTTTTTGTCGCGAAAAAAAAAAATCTATACTGAGTCATTAAACAGCAATCATTAACGGTTCGTTTTTTTGTATGTAAATATTAATTTTGCCCTGTAATAAAATATTTTGTTTTTTATAAAAAAAAAAAAAAATAATAGTCTCATCCCCGATCCAAAGCTTAATTTTTTCAAAGTCCTATATAAACACTCTGTAATTCGCAAAATAGACCGTAAATGTCTTACCTTAACTTGTCCCTCTGCTTCCGAAACATTTGATAGTGGTTCGATGCTTTGCTCGGTTTCCGCTTCCTTTTTGTCCTTTCCATTTAGGCTCAAAGGAGGTAAACTTTTTGGTTCCGCTGAAATTTCGGACACTGTTTGAGCCTCAGAGATGCTATCCTCCGTGGATTTGCCATTGGCTAAAGGTTCTGAAGCAGATAACTGAACTTCACCAGTTTTGGGTTTATTATCTGTAATTGAATTGGAAAAAAAATATTAGTATAGCAGATCTGTTTATTGAAAGTTATTAAAAGAGTTATTATTTTACTAGTTGAAGCTTGAGAAGAAAATTATTCTTTTATCTGAATACTTTCAGTTTCGTTACATTTTTCTTCCAATAAAAAATTTTTCTGAAATATTTGTTTTTTTTTTTCTTTTTAAAAGTGGACATTTTTTCCTTAATTCTTCAAACATTTATTTTAAATAAGAAAATATGTGCCCCTTGTTCCTTAACCGTTATCGTTGCAGCTTCATATATAAATAACAGGGCTATTTCAAAAAGGGAATAGAAACTAGGGAAGACGGCAAACCGGCCGGAGAATGATTTTTGGGCAGATAGTAGAAAAATGCGCGCTGGATGCGGCGAATGCTGTCGAAGAATACGGCTACCGGAATATGGGATATTAGTTTATTACTCGCTTGAAGGGACAATAACCGGTGAGTACCTCGCTTATTTTGGTAGATCCGGTACATGGGACAGTCCTACGGGCCATACAGCACCGGGTCACAGATTGCGATGAAGAGTTTCCGGCAACAATAAGACAAGGTTGGCCGCAGTTTATTTTGAAGAATATTTTTTCAGTAGCATTAATTCCTTTTTTTCACGATGTATAAAGCGTATTACACCTGGAAGAGATTATTTTCTGCGTATAACATTTGCGTATGTACTCAATATTATGCATAAACCACTGGGCTTATAAATAAAACTTAGTATGCAAATTAGTATTGCAAGAACATATATGCACATTAGGGTGGTCCGAAAATGCATGTGAAAAAGTAAAGTCAGAATGTTTATGCTCTCAACCCTCAATTTATTTAATCATTTCGTAGTAACTGTATTTTATAGTTCTGCCAAAACCTCCAGAAAATGCCAGAAAATGCAGTGGGGGATTAAATAAAAAAAAATTTGTATTCGAAAATGTTTAAATAAACAATTGAATATTTTTACTGGAAGTCTCCTGAAAAGAACTAGAGATTCCCATCGAAATATATTGATTCTAAAGAAATCCATACCATCCCAAAAAGTTGTTTTTCCCCATATAAAATACAAGGAACACTTTGAGCGTTTTGAGCGACCCCTAAATATTTTTTGTTTTTAAAATAAAAAATGGGGGTACATTTTTTTCGATATAGAAAAATCCTAGGAGGTGAGAGCATTAAAATTCCGACTTTACTTATTTTGGACCACCCTAGTGTACACACTATGTACACATAACTTATCTACTATGGATATGCCATATATTTAATGTCGGACGTGTGTTAATCACTTGAACCAATGAGTCCAAACCACACATTTCGAAAGCCATAGGCAAAGGACGACGACTAGCTGCTTATCATTTTGATGAAAATAAAACCGGCATGCAGTTTTATCGCTGCTCGCATTGCATTTGTTCCGTTTACAATCTTACGACAAAAACAGAAA